ATAATTATACTTACCCTACTTATAAGTACCCATGAACCTCCAAGAAAGGCCCTCCTGGTTTACTTCTGCTGGCTCTTGGGAGACGCACTTGTCGTGAATCTCCGCAGGCACTGGAAAGTCTGTTACCAACACCATCCGAGGCGCATGGAGTGTGGCCGAGAGTCGCCTTGGAGTCCGGGATTGTGACGCGAGTTTCGGGACTCGTCTTCAATCCTGTCCAAAAAACCACTGCTCAGAATCCCCGCAAGGGCTGAGGCATCGTAAACGAACCTCTTCTTGCAGCAGCCAACTATCGACCTTCAATGCTTCGACCCTTGTAGCTGCCTGGGTTAGGATTCTTGGAGGATGAACCTCCAAAAAGGCCCATTCGCTTGCATGCTCGTGCGGGCACTACGAAAACCGCGCATTTCAGTGCATCATGAACCCCAAGCCCCATGCCTCTCATCAATACCCCAGAGCCACACAAGCCAACCGCTCAGACTGCGGCTAAGCTGGACACCACGCGACTGGTGCTTCTTGGCTGTGCCCTGCATGACAGGACATTCGCTCGATGGCTCCAGGGTTCGGGCTTTCAGGTGACAGCGGGACCCGACGTAGAAAAGGGTTTGGTGGTACATCTGTGAGGGGGAAAAAGCCTAAACCCTAAAGCCGCACACCCTTAAACCCTAAACCACTAGACCCTATTAGATTCTTAGATCGTCGATTGGGGCCTGGCCTAGCGCCGAAGCCTCACGAGGAAAATCAAGTCAAGGAGTTTATCAGAGCACACTTTCTCCCTGTTGAGTAGAAGGAATGGCTTGCATGACAGCACCCCAAAGCGGCAGTGGCACATGAAGGCCTATCTGGCTGGTTCCGTTCTCCCTCTCCCTCACTTCTCCCTTTTATGCTCGTTGCTTCTGGTCTGCTGCGACTGCGACTAAATTTTCCTTTTGCAGCTGTTGGAATGCCTGTGTCTGCTCCATTGCCAAACGCATCTGCGCACTGATCTACATGCTGCTTACCTCCATTCAGACATTTAGCTTGAGAAAGCTTTTGTGCTTCTTCTTGCTCAGCGTCAGAGCCCCCGTTCCTCCTCATTAGAAGAGGGCCAAAAAATTACCGAGACTTTTTGGGGGTTCCGAATTATAGTTATGGTATACTATGCCTCGAAACCCTATTCCCTGTACAGATTTGGGACTCTTGGTGGGTTGCATCGACTTCTGCACCCTATTTGCCGCAAGTTGTAGATGTCTTCTCTACACGTGTATTCACACATTCTTTGAGGATGCATATGTCGTCCTTTGTTTCGCTCTTCGTCGACAGGCTTTCGCCCGCATCGCCTCAAAACCCTATTCTAATTCTTAAGGCCCCTACATTATAGTTACTGTAGCACAATGGGCTTAGGGTCCAAACACGGACCCAGCTGTTTCAGCTTAGGCATCGGCCGTATAGGCCATGCAGAAGCACGCGGCGGCGCCTTGGAGACCCAGGATTCGGGGTTTAGGGTTAGGGTTTAGGGTTTAGGGTTTAGGGTTTAGGGTTTAGGGTTTAGGGTTTAGGGTTTAGGGTACCCAGGATTCGGGGTTTGTCTGATGTCAGGTTTTGGGCGTATACTTTATAGTCCCAATTCTATTTCTTACGGTTCCTGACCCTTTGTATACTATAGTCTATAGCATACCAAGGGTTCAGGAACTGTAGGAAATAGTACAAGTAATTATTACTATGTAGGTTCCACTGACCTGTACAACTGCAAGACCAAATCAAATGCCGGAGCTCCGAAGTCAGAAGCCCCCCCTCATTGTCATTGCCTTGATGAGAAGAGGGATCTTACCGTTAAGGCCCCCGGCCCAAGAAGCATCAAAAGTGGATCTTACCTTTGACACGGGCCTTCAAACCTAAACCCGAAACCCGAAACCCCTAAACCCTGAACCCCCAAACCCTAAACCTCGAAACCCTAAACCCCTAAACCCAGAACCCCTAAACCCCACCCCTAAACCCCAAAGAGGGTTTGCCCAGGAAGAAGCCAGAAGCCTGCAGTGGCCCAGTCCCGAACTCACGACGGCCGCAGCCAGTGCTGCAACCAGCCTCGAGAGGAGCTGGTAGGGTTTATGGTTTGGGGTGTAGGGTTTAGGGTTTTGGTAGGGTTTAGGGTTTGGGTTCAGGGTTTTGGTAGGGTTTAGGGATTTCCTTAGGGTTTAGGGTTTGGGGTGTAGGAGTATAGTAGCTCTTTCGCGGTTAAGGCTTTAGGGTGTTTTTTTGCTCAGGCCCTGGGTTCGTGCTGTCGGTAGGATGTCGGGTCTCGGGACAGAGGGGTAGAGCCGAGAATCCTAAACCCTAAACCCTAAACCCTAAACCCAAATCAGTGCTCAACAGAATGTCACTGAGTGGGACCGTCTCGATGGGTTTAGGTTTTGGCTTTCTGACTGCACCAAGCCCCAGTGCAGTATAATGTCCCGACTGTATGCTGCTTAAGCCATTCTGGCCTCAAGGGGTTTTCGAGAACAGGTTGGTGAGGTTGAAATTTTCACACGAAGGACGGGACAGACTTGGTGCCGTGCTGGGTTCCAAGTGTTCATGACATCTTAATGCCTGTTCGCATGTCACATGTGGTATTGACGATGACCTAGACTCAATAAGGTAGCAACGCCTTCCATTTGATGGTAGAGTTCTTGTCGTGATCGTATGTCAAGCCGTCAAGGCCTGAACCTAGAAAGAGGACCTGACGTACTTCGTTCCAACTGAGCCAAGTCATCGGCATTGGCCACACACACGAAAACCCGATGTCAAGCTCAAGGCAGGCCGAACCTTTGTAAAGCCTTGCGGAACCGACCCCCCAAAACCATAAGACCGCTTCCACGTTTTTCTACGACTTTCAGAATGCCAACTCCTCGCCTTGCATTCCCTGCTGAAAAGCGAAAAAAATTGAAAATTGAGCTCTGCCGGGAGCGGGACGCAACCAAAGGACCAGCTGCAGCACCTGACAACAGCTAAAATCCTGAAGAACCACTAGCTTGATTCGGCTCACCATCCTTTATGTGGGGGTTTCCGAAAATAGGGGGTACCTTATTTTGGGGTCCTTATAATAGGGATCCTACTATTTGGGGTACTATATTAGGGTCCCCTATTTTTTGGGAACCCCCATGTAGTGTTGTGATGGGGGCTTGGGGTTTTACGCTCTCGCAACTCGGACTCGGCCGGACGGGGTCTCTCGGCTGGTATGCTCAATATAGAGGTGCTCACTACAAGCTTTACACTCCCACAACTCGGACACTACAGGGTTTTAGGGTTTAAGCTTTGGAGTGTGCAGCTCTGACTCCCTCACTAGCGGGTCGTAGTCGGTCTGGAAGAAAAGGGTTCATACATCACAGGTCATTAGGCGGCCTCAGGGACATTATGGCCATTATGGGTTTAGGGTTTAGGATTTAGGGGGCAAACATTCCGCCCTGCACCAACGCCAAGAACACCCTGCAGGAGCAGTTGTAGCCATTGTGACAGCAGTGGTCGTGAAAGCAACAGCTCCGGTAGCAGTCGATGGGCATCGGCGGCGGCGGCGGCGGTGGTGGTGGTTGGGTGGCGGTATTGTTGCTGCTGTTGCTGCTGCGGCGGTTGTGGTTGTTGTTGACGCACGATGATGGACGCTTGAGCTGCTGATGTTAATTTTGTTGTCGTTGCTGCTGCATTTCTTAGAAGTAGATGTGGTGACGATAGCCGCGGGCAGTCGCACTGCCAAGCCTCCTGGACCTGGAGCGGCGCCGAGCATCGGCGGCCCAGGCACAGGTGTGGTGCTCCAAACCTCAGGACCACAACTGCATGGGAGTATGTATGCATTGGCACTCTATATGAAAAGCTATGGCGCCAACCCGACAGTATGGCACCGAAGCTCATCATCGTTGTTATCATTCATGACGTCGAACCACATGATGTTCTGACACGTAATGCTCGAACTGTCTTGGGGCATGTTGCGGTCATTGTTGGTGCTGCCTCGCACAGGAATCTGGGATTTCAGGGCACCCGAGTTCCAACACCCAGAGACAGAGACTCCAAGTGGTATGCGACCCTCGTAGAGTCCGCAAGCGTTGGAAACCCTAAAGCTTCTGCCTAAAGCGGTAAGGTTCCAAGAAGCCGACAGCAGAGGCCTGGCAGGCGGCTTTCGTTCAGCAAGATTGGAAGAAGTAACTTCACCGTCTGGGTCGAGGGTTGCGCTTGGGGTTGCAGTTCGAGGCTACGGATGTTGTGTGGCCATGATCAGGTAGAATCAGGTTCTGTAGAGGGACTGGCCTTGGGTGAAGTGCCCTGAGAACCCCTGAGAGATACAAACGGAACTGCTAGTACGTTAATTTAATCTTGTTTTGGTTCTTTTTCCATCATCATAAAATACTATCATATCACTAATTAAGCATGATAATGATAGTGGTAAGGCTGACCATTTAAGGTATTGGCGCTACAGTTCGATAAGTTACTCTGGTTATGGTTGATAAAGGCAAGGAGATCCCAGACAGAAACCCATCTGCTGAGATCTTTAGGGGTTCAAGGGCTTGGCTCTTTTGATAGCCCGGTCTGAGGTTTCAGGGTCTAGAGTGCTATTGCCTAACCCGAAATGCCACGGCCTGGTAGGCGAGAAGGGGCCTGGGTGCGATGGAGGAGTGACGTCATTACAGCTTAGCTGGGGTTCTGGCATCCTGGTTTAGTGGGAACTACTACCACTACTATTACTGTTACTATAGTAATCGTATTAGTATTAGTATTAATATTAGCATTAGCGCTAGAAGTAATATTAGTATCTACTACTGCCACTACTACTACTACTACTACTACTACTACTACTACTACTACTGCTACGGCTACGGCTACTGCTACTGCTACTGCTACTGCTACTGCTACTGCTACTATTACTGTTACTGCCGCTACTACCACTACTACCGCTACTACCGCTATTGCCATTGCTATCGCTACTGC